TACATATATATATATATATATATTAAACGGTATATTTATTTATTTGGTGTTCGAGAAAAATCTGCTTTTCCGGTAGGATTCGAACCTGCGTTCCTCTCGGGGAAACCGTTATTAGATCTGACCGGGAACGCAGTTTCGAATCTGAACCCATAGAAACAACATCCAATTGTACAGTGATATTATTTTTGCGATCGTAGAATGGGACTTTAGTAGTGCAATTTAAGTAGTTTCTGTAATACAATAGGTTTAATTTTAAGTGGGTTAGAGATGGTTTACTGTATATGTTTCTAATAATAATATTAATAGTTTCGCTAACTGGTACATATATATGTACAGCGGGATGGTGTTCCTATGGGTTCAGTTCTGGGCCCAACGTTTAGTAATTTCTATATGTCTTGTCTTGAAAATAATATATCTAATAAACTTAAAAACCTTCCATCTACCTAAGGTGTGTCGATGATATCCTTATATCAGTTAAGAATATGGATGGAATATATCAACTCCAGAAACAATTCCAAAATAATTATGTCGTTAAATATATATACGAACTTAATAATGGTAATAAAATTTCCTTTTTCAGATGATATATTGATAAACACTAATCATAATAAATTCACTAGCTACCCATATAAAAATTAACATTAGCATAAATTCGTAAACACTTAATTGTAAGAGTCAATGTCCAAATAACTATAAAATAGCAATTATAGAAACCTAATAAACTGTGCAAAAATTAATTCCTCCACAAAGCAGATGTTCTGTAGTGAACTAAAAAATATAAAACAAACTCTTACTATTAATAACTTCCTTAAATGTATTGTTTGTGAACAAATAAGATGTTCTATTAGAAAATTTAATATAAAGAAAATAGGATATAATAATACTTCAATTAACCCTAAACATATTAATCTTTTATATCGCAATTAAATAATTTTTAAATTAGAATCAGGACGAAATTATCATAAAAAATAATAATAATATATCCACCGCAGATCTTAGTAAAAAAAAAAAACTAAAATTAATTATATACTATACTAAATTCAATATATCCAAATTAATTATTCGTAATAACTTTTCCCTACCAACTAACGTGTTACAGAAAACCAATATTGTATATAAATTTAAAAGTCCCTTTGGAGACTGTATCTCCAACAGAAAAAAATAATATATATATTAGCCATACCACTACGACGTAGTCTTGAAGATTGAGTTTCCATTTGAATGATGCATCTAACATCTCTCAGCATATACAAAAGCATGCCTGCCCACATTCGCAATTTAGAGAACTTATTGGTGAAAATACATCTATACTTTTTCTTGAAAATAATGAACATAAACAAAAAATTTTTGAAGTTATCTATATCTAAAATTAAAACCAATCCTTAATAAAATCAATTATGAATACTGCATAAACATTTTAAAATGTTTACAGTAGATAATTCGAAATATCTAGGTTTTAACTAATAGTTTTAAATAATTTTTCTTTTTTTAAAAAATATTTAGACATTTCAATAACTTAGTTACCGGCCTTGACATTTGCACGTGTGACTACATGATAAAATTTTAAAATTGTACAGTACATAACCGTAGCGTTTTTCATTTCAGACGTAAAAAGTTAATTTTCAGATGAAAAGAACAATTTTTCTCTTAGAAAAAACAAGACCCTGATGATGGTATTGCGCTAATGTCGAAAGTACTCGTAATAAAATGAATATGCGTTAGCATGGTCATTTTCTTTCATCCTTTAATAAGGATATTAAGAAACATGTTCGTATTTACGAGAGGATCCTATTAAAAATAAATAAACAAAACTTATCTCTCTCTCTTTCTCTCTCTCTTACTCTCTTTCTCTCTCTCTCTCAATATATATATATATATATATATATATATATATATATATATATATTATAATTATTTTTTCAAAATATGATTCCTTCGCTACATAAGGTTCTCATTATTCAAAAACGAGGCCAAACCATCAATATAATTATTAAAATTAAATTGAAGTAAAGTAACAAACCCTGTTTCATCCTCAATTGAGGATGAAACAGGGCCTATTATTTTAATTCAATTCAATTTAATAATTATATTGATGGTTTAACTCTCGTTTTTGAAAACATGAGAACTTTTATGTAAATGAAGGAATCACATTAAAAAAAGTTATAATCTAAGCTCTAATTCTGTATGGAGCACTGTCTTTTTTAAAAATAAAAACAAAAATACTAAAGAACCCTGGATTATTTACCAAACGTGTTCTTTCCTATTTTTCTACATACCCCCACACACACACGCACACACACACACCAACAAAATTTGTAGTTAGTAGGTGCAAACCCGTAACCATTCTGTTCTGAAAATTCTGTGAGTGATCTTTGAAATCTCCGACATGCTTTTATATATAGATGTATATATTTATATGTATATATATATATATAAACGTTTGTATATATATATATATATATATATATATATATAAAGATACGACAGTGAAAAATATCTTCGACTGGCCAAAAAAAAGAATTCCTAAAAAGGAATTCGTAACAAGTGTGGTTATTTAGCAAAAGTTATTGAAGTGACGTTTCCTCATGCCTAATATATATATATATATATATATATATATATATATATATATATATATATATATATATATATATATGACGGATTGAATTGCGTAATGGTTCTATTTTTATCTTAGACGGTGTCCAACTGACTCTACTATACTCTGCAATCAGCAAGGTCACAAACAAACAATGCGCAGGAACGAAATTGAAAATATAACTGCCGACAGTTTACCAATTTCACCATATATATATATATATATATATATATATATATATATACACCTATTTATGTATGTATGTATAATAAAATGTATAAATGTAGCTAAATGTACGTGGAATCCATTGTATACAAATGCATACATGCATACATACATGCATACATACATACATATATATATATATATATATATATATATATATATATATATGTATGTATGTATACCCTATAGTGTAAAAAAATACTGCTCAATATTAAACAACAGTGCAATTCATGCAATACATTACAAATGCGCTAACAAATACATTACAATTGCACAACTGCGAGTTCTGCAATCAGCGTAGATTATTGTACATTTTATATATATATATATGTGTGTGTGTGTGTGTGTGTGTGTGTGTGTGTGTATTTCAAAAGGTAAGTAAGTATCCAGTAAAAAGTGTCAAAAATTATGAAATTTATTTAAAATAATTTTAGGAATGTAGCATATTTCACGGGTTGCAAAAATCATTTTTCTCTAATCGTTTTTGGTTGGCGTAAATGAAAATGAAATTCTTATCGGTATCTTCTGAATAGTCATAAATATTGAAATGTTACTATAGTTTGTGGTCAGTAAGCTCTGAAAAAAATCTCACCTATCCTAATCTGAGCTCAGTGAGAAGAAAAATGGCTAAAAATTAAAAGACTTGACAACTGAAACATATACTAGCCTAAGTCAATACACTTTTACTTCATATTACCCTGGAAACATAAAATTAACATTTTTAGTAAAATTCATGGACATTTTCTTTATCAGACACATGAAAACTTTGAATGGAACAATTGTTTGCTAAGATGCAAACACTCCGTTATATACAGAACGATTTTTTGGTATAAAATTTTGAGGAAAAATCTAAGTAAATTTGTGATCTTAATTTTAGAATTTATATTGGAAGTTTATTTACTATCTTAAATGTGACAATTACTGATTATTAACACCGCTAGAGGTTGTCAGTAGAATCTCTGTTTCTCATCTGTAATCAGGATAAAAACAGAATACAAATTGTACCAGAAATATGTATAATTGGGGTACTTGTTCATGGCATATTCGTTTCTTACTTGATTCGAAAACATTTTATATCTATCTATCTATCTATCTATCTATCTATCTATCTATCTATCTATCTATCTATCTATCTATCAGCCTGTCCAGATCTATCTATCTATCAGCCTGTCCAGATCTATCTATCTATCTATCTATCTATCTATCTATCTATCTATCTATCAGCCTGTCCATATCTATCTATCTATCTATCTATCTATCTATCTATCTATCTATCAGCCTGTCCATATCTATCTATCTATCTATCTATCTATCCCTATCTATCTGTGACGGTTACACACCTGGCCCATGTCGGATCCTTTGTTATTACAGCGCCAACGGTGACGTCGCTCCTCCTGGTCGTTCCTCCTGGGTCCAAGCGTGCCGCTCCAACCCTTTGGTCAGATGATCACCAGCCTCGCCTTTCCCGACTCGCTTCCAATACCTGGTCACTAAAGCAACTATACCCCATCTCCGGTCTGTCTACCCACGCTGTGTTTAGATCTTAGACAGACGGGACCAGCAGGGATCAGGGCCGATACAAGTTGAGTCCGACAGGGGTGGCAAAACACAAATAAAATAAAAACTCTCACGACACCAAACAAAATTGCTGATAAAAAAAGGGTAACAACCTTTTATATCTTAAAGTCCGTTACATAAAAACAAAATTGTTCTCAATTCCCGACCCGCTCTGTGGACTATGGCACCAAGCTTCTATCACACAATAGGAAAATGTCAAAATTACCTACTTTCTAGAATCATGTATGTATGTCGGGTGTGGTTCAGTTCGACACTGGGGCTAATTTCTATCGATCATTCGCAGTTGATTCTTCTCTCCGACTTGAGTTGTATTTCTTCTTCTTCTTCTGTTTAGACTGGTAGATTTCTTGTTTCAACCCAGTGGAAGATTTCTTGCTTCGATTCAGTGGAAGATTTCTTGCTTCGATTCAGTGGAAGATTTCTTGCTTCAATTCGGTGGAAGATTTCTTGTCTTCAACTTGGGCTGGAAGGATTTCTTGTTTCGAGGATTCTTCTGTCGTCCGAGGGTGAACTGCAACTCACGCCCAACCTAACTCCAACTTCAACTCAACTTCAGCTCCAACTCTTCTCAGGTTTTCAGGCAATCTTCTTCTTCATCTAC